AATACATGACTAGCAACCTGCGTCACTTCAAAAACCGTGATTTGATTTATCGTTGATAAGGTTAAAAAGGATCATTTCTCATTATATATCTATTATATGCATTGCGAGCCCTATTATTTTCATTGCGTGAGCGATCTCTTCGAGGTATCTTAGAAAAATTACAAATACCAATGAAACATAATATCACAACACAAAAACTATCGTAGGCTAAAACATTTTCTTCTTTATATTTTATACAAATAACATTACCTACAAAGTTTTACTTGAATTCACTGAAACATCACCAACTACATAACTTAATTTTCGTATGGATGTAAACAACTTTGTATAATGACCATCTGTTAGTTTTGATGTAAACAAAATTTGTTTATTCAATATAAACTTGAAAGAGTTCAGATGATTGAAAACAGAATTCAGCACAAACTATGAAATTTTGAAAGCCTATAGGACGAAGGGCATTCACGTGATATCATCCAAACCCGCAAAAGGCACATCTAGAGGATAAACAATTTAAATTGATACCATATATGCCTACAAAAATAAATATTTAGGGGTAAATTTGCTGCACACAAAAATCCAACAAATTCTTTTGATAATATACGTGGATATAACAGATATATACGTGGTAATATTTCGTTTGATATATAACATGCATTTTTATGAAGGTACAAAAAAGTATAACTCCCATAAAAATAAAGTAAGCACGATCTGATTCGTGCCATTCCGAAACGATCTAACTTAGATTCAAACCAGTGACCTTCAGATTTGAAGGTGAGCACTATAATCACTCGGCTAACCAAACAGTTAACAGTTAAGTGCTGATATAAATTACTGATTTCTGTAGGGTATTTAGACTTTAGATATAATAGTTACTTTTAAGATATAATAGGGGTCGTCCAGTGGTCGAAAAGTCAACCAAATATATGTAATTTAGGCATACAGGCTCCCCAATTTCACCCCACGCTGTATATAAAACATGTGATTGTAATTTATTCCATTTGTTTTGATTTTATGTTTATATTACGATGTTATTTCGTCACCAGCATGGCAACCCATAAGGCCCATGTTAATTTTTTAAATTTTAAATTCATTTTTTGTCCTATTTATTTTATTTTGGCTTATTTTTTAGCCTATTTTAATTTATAAAGCGAAGCTGCACTTCTACAGGCAAATATCTTGCTAACCGTGTGCATAGATTTTCCCTGCGATGCACACGAGCTGAGAAAAAAGGGTTTCATGAAACATGATGGCCTATTAATATACAATAGATACTCTTTTGAGTCAGTTCACCTATTTCAGTAACAAAATAAACGGTATCAGCAATCTGACATATCATTTATTTAGTTATCTTGTCAACAATCCTGGGTGGGAGTGTTTTATTTAAGCTGTTTATTTATTTTAAGCTACTCTTCTCCTTAGCTACATTTTAGTACATAGTATTGTAGTATAATCATACCTAGATGACAGAGTTGCTGAAGTGTTCGTCTACTCTGAAATTCCTTGGAACAATCAGTAGACTCTTTTCATTAAGACTAATAAATAGCTCTGGCCAAAACCATCTTCTCTCAGTCAGGAATAAAACTTTCTTCTCATTCATAACTTATAACTGCTTTATAATAAAAACTTATTTGTACGTGTTGTACTAACCAAATATAATCCAACTATTAACAATAACACATATAGCTTACTCTATGATAATGTATAGCAGCCATAATCAGTATTTCCTGTTTATTTAGGTACTTTATAACATTTACAAAACACGTTTTATTGTAAAAACACGATTACACTGAGGTTTCAATCAAGCAACAGGAAGAAGTCGATCTTATTGTTAGGGGAGCTTTAGTAAACATTGAGGGTTTGAGGGTTAATTTTACGGGACTTTGGTTAACTGGTTTTGATCAAGAGAATTGAGTTACTTGGGAAAAACTATTATTTTCCATCAACTTTAAACTTAATAGCTATATTTTAATGTTTCACTTCCAAACCTTTTAGGAAATAAATAATATACAATTTATTTGTACCTATAATCGTGATTTAAGAAGTAGTTTTAGAGAACACATCATAATCAACGTGCTATACAGGGTGTCCTAACCTCCTGAACGTAAATTTTTAGTGAGAATAGACCAAGTTTAAAATGATGAAGTGAGATATAGACTTTAATCCAATTGAGACACCACTTTGCCACGATAAACCAACGAAACTCAAAACCCCACTTGGGATATGTTAGCTATATTCGAGCAATGGTACTGAATTGGTAAGGAAATGATCGTATTAAAATTCACTATACGACGATTACCTTCTGCACCTATTGTGTCTAGATTTTTTTTGGAGAGTAAGTGGCTAGCTCAGTTTAATCTTGTGAAGTAGATGGTTCGTGGGTTTTCTAGTTTTAATTGTGGTTTGATTTGACAAAACGAAATTAACTTTATACGTCCAGTTATTTTAACCACCTTTCCTTACGGAACAACCCATTTGGTTTCCAATCACGTACACAAGTTGGAACTATCGAATTAATTTTTAGCATTTTTTTTTTATATAAAAAGAGGCTTTACAAAATTATTATGAGTTTATGAGACAACCAAAATCGGAAACGCAACTAGTTTGAATGAAAACCCTGTTATTATGCATCATATAGATCTGTAAAATATAAATTTTACAAGAAATAAAGTTTTCTAATGTACATATACTGCATTAACACAAAATTGATGATTATGTTCATCGCTTATCTTATGTTACATGTCGATGATCTTGGGTTCGATTCAGTCATCTTGATTATCCAGTTGCTAATCACCGGTCTAAACACAAAATTCTGGCGAATATATTTCTGTCTTATTTAGGTTAAAATTGTATACAAAGGCTAAAGATATATTAGACCTAAGGGACCACCAATCTCAGCTAAATTGCCCATGACTTGATTGTAATGGCTACATTGTTAAATATATCTTAGGATAATATATTTTTATTTTTACTTCAACCCCTTTTCCAAGCTATATGACACGAAGGATAATAAAAAAGATATTTTGGTTATTTTATCTTATATATAACTGTTCTATAGAACTTAATAAAAATACAATTTTTTTGTTTATGTTCTTATGGTATGATTAACTCTGAAAACCCCTAACCCAATCTAACATAATTCAACCTTACTGAGCCTGATTAAATATCTTCCATTTAAGCTTTAAAGTATACATGCTGCAAACTAAAGATTTACTGTCCTAACTCTTAACGTCAATTGTAATATTTTAAACAATGTGTTTAAAACGCAACTTCGGTAACTTTCAAAAGATGAGTTTATAGACCTGTCCGTCAATTCTTCCCCTTCTGGAATGTAAGCCGTTTATAATTTGATCCAGCGAGCTGCTTCAATGACAGGTTGTTATATTTCAATATTGAATTATCTTTCGATTTACTTGATATTTTAGACTACTTTTAACACAAAACATATTAATTGTTTTTATATTAATTATTTTAGAATTATTTTTAAGAAACAACATAAAATATTTTGCTAACCTGTTATAATTTGTGGTGAAGACGATAATGTTACCAATTTGTGTTCACATTGGGACAATAGTCCAAGCATGAGGAACCCCTCAGGACTATGATGACCACAGGGACATGTAATGTGCTATGTATTAACTAAACGCAACAATGGCATAGTGCTATGCAATTATATCAGTTGGAACACCAGTCTAGAAACAGCCAAGTCATGTTCTACTTCTTTTAGTAATAAGCTATAATCATCATCCGTATTCGAGCTGCAACTAATTTTAAATACAGGGTAATTCTAAATGATTATACACTTTTAAAACTCTATAAATGAAAATCTATACAACCTATCATCACGGGATGAGAATGAATTGAAAGAGGAGATACTAAAGTTTTGTTTGACACCACTTTGGTAAACATAGTTGCAGATTTAGCCTATACAGACATTTTTAGATTTCAACTACGATTTTAAATTAACTACGGGCATTTACCTCTCTGAATCTCAAAACTTCATACTATAGTACATACATATATGTTGAATTGTCAAACGTTTGTGGTAATAACACTAGGGGTCAGTTAGTTCTATAATTTACCGCTCTGTTATTGTTGTACACCACTATTGTAAGCTGTGAGGAACTGTGGTTCTGTGTTTTGGAGTTTCATTGATTTTAAATTGTGTAATCAATTAAAAATCGTTAAAATCTAAAAATGTCTTTAGAGGCTTATTTTGCAACGATGTTTACCAAAGTGGTGTCAAACAAAACATTAGAATCTCCTCTTTCAATTGATTCTCATCCCGTGATAATAGGTTGTATAGTTTTTCATTTATAGAGTTTCAAAAGTGAATCAATCACTTAGCATTACCCTGTGTTTAGGTGCACAAAAGAACGATAGTATTGTTTTATGAAAAGTTTCCAATTATAATTCTAGTCTAGCCCTTTACCAATAAAATTCAACAATTATTTCCATACAGGCATGAGTTTGTCTTTATAAATGATGCAATGACTTTCTTAGATGGAATAAAATATGTTTACAATTTCTTTCCATGCAGAAGCAATGACACAAATTACTTCCGTTCAGTAAAACACCCAAAAGTTATAGAAAACTTACTCTTAAAATGCATATATTTGATACAAATATGATATTATTGCTATTCTTCACTAACATTACCTTCTTTTACCAACTTCAAGTAGGCTATTTGAAATTGCGTTAGTGAAGCGGAGAAATGAAATATTTTATGACGCAAAGAAGACGCTGCTACGCAACCTTTTTATTGCCAACAGCAGCTTTGATATTAGAAACATTAACTGGGGAAGTCATCAACAAATCTCATTTACCTGTTTAGTACCGTGATGACGTTTAAAAAAAACCTTCTGGTTAACAATCTTGATAAAATGTAGAACAGTTTTTTGGGTTATACAAAGTGTAGTAAAACATTATACATTTGTATTTAGTTACTTTTGGCGAATCACAATTGATTGATATTGATATTGACAGGTAGTAAAAATTTACAACATCCTTCACACCAGTTTATACAGCTTGATTAATCCTATTGTATACAACAATGCTTGTAAACTTGTTTACACATTGAAATAATTGATCAAGCAGGGACGTTAACTACATTATTCGTTGTTCAATGTTTTAATCTTTTATTACTATGCAAAACCAATGCCACATAATAATGAGAACACAAAGGCTATAGGGTGAGGTGGGGTAAGTGCACTACGTAAAATCTAAAGTTTAACTTTGACCAGGTCTGAGCACATCATTTTTAATGGTAGAAAATTCATATTTTTACCATGCATTTTCAAGAATGTTCTCTATTAGTCTTAAAATTTTCCTAAAAATAAAACTCTTATAATTTTTCTTTTTTTAATTGTTTCTACCCTGTGTATGCACTTGCCCCAAATAGTGGGGCAAGTGCATTTTCTCTCTCTATATCCCATGGTAAGTGTATTAGGAAAACAGTGGGGTTAGAGCATATAGAACTTTTTGAGAGCTTTCTAACACTTTTTACAGAACTGAATTATCTCTTACAGTTTTTTAGATACAAACTTTTTTCAAAGGCGAGAAATCTTGTTTTTAAAAATGCTTAAGAACGTAATTTTGATTTCACTTATTAAATTGGGTTAATCTATTTCCTGGTAATGGGAATAAATGGTATTGATAAAAATGGGTATCCTTAAGTGTCCTTATAACTTTTCAAACATGAAAACTGTTTTTTACGTTAAAAATTAAGTTATAAAAAACACTCACTCACTCTAAAAGTCACTTATTTTTCATATTTACACATGTGTGTTGCACATGGTGTGTGCACTTGCCCCACATCAACAAAAATAGGGGGCAAGTGCACAACGCCCATCAATTTTTAAACTATAATAGATGGAAACTAAATCCAAACATGACTGAAAAGTACACTTAAAACTGTACAAAATAAACCAATAATAATAATAATAATACAATTTTTTACTTTTTTGTCATGTTTAAAAATACCTATATGATCTTTCCCTCGGAGGAAGAATTACATGATCTTTGAAAAGTTTATTCCACATGTTTAAATCATTCCATGGAAATATAGCTTTAAATGTACATCAAGTATGATAATAAAAGGAAGCTTTTGCTGCGAATCCTGGTACTGTAGGGCAAAACGTAAGCGATTGAGGTACCTCGTATGCTCTTGCCCCATTTATGCTCTTACCCCACCTCACCCTAGTAGTGTATGCAACGATCGCGTGAAGACGAGTAGTAAATTTAAGGTATTAGCCTTGGTGAGTGCTTTCAAAACTTCTTCGATTGGCTAATTACGCGAGTTGTACACAATACTTTACCTACGACTATTTTTTTTAATTACTGACCATCACTACTGATAACCTCTGGAGTCCTATGGAAGTATTATGATGGGAATGGATAACACTGTTGCTGTGTTGGCCACTGTTATATTATTACAACATTAATTTTAATGAACAAGGTGCCATCTCACGGAGGGGTTTATACGTTTGGTTTTACGAGTACCTTTGCATTACTTGGCATTTAAGCACAAAAGGTTTTGAAATTTTACATAATTTACCAAGTAGGTCTTGAAAATATATAATGAAAATTTCAGCTTGCGCATTTGTATTAACAAAATGTTGGCAAAATGTTTCAGATTTGATTGCCATACAAACTAATTTTTAAGCTATGTATTATCTGATTTCTTCTCTGCGTTGCAGTTCTGACACTCATTTTGGAACAGCTGCATGGTTTAAAAGTATTGCTTGATTCATACAAACATAACCTAACTTTTACAAGTGCAGTACTGAAACTAAAATTCTAGGAATGACTTAGTTTTACTGACAGTGTCGTACGGGTTTCGCTTCTGGTGGTGGAGTCATTATTGGCTATTTATAATTTTGCTACCTCACAAGGACTCTTCTTTGACTATAATACTTTTAATTTATTAACAGATATTGTGGATTCCTAGTTAAAAATATGTTTTTAATCGACCATAAAAACTGACCTTAAACTTGTATAGTTTGTCTACAAATACATTTTCCTTCAATATTATATTGTTAATTATTTTAAAATATTTTCAATGTACAGTTGAGAGGATGCAATTGAAAAATAAAAGGAAAAACACCCCTAACAAGAAGATACTCCCAGGTAAGGGGTGGGCGTAGCTGCTGAGAGGGAGCTCTGTTCTCTTCTGCCCATCACGGTCAAACTGGCGAGCGTAGATGGCAGCAGTGACTAGGTTGTCTATGGGGTAGTTGATCTAAAAAACATGAACCAGTTTAAAAGATAATACTATAAAAGTCAATCTTTTAATATAAATTTTGCCACTCAATATTGAACTTCATAAGTTCCCGACGGATAAATATATCAGTTTGCCTCTAAATACCATCTTGTGAAATCTATCTGACAATACCTACCTGAAGTGCCTTTTAGATATCTAAATACTTTAGTCAGTTGCAGCCAGTAACTCTCCGAGGGATCTTTTTTGTACTAGACGCCATGGAAACAACGTATATGAGGCCTAGTTTGAGTCATGAGCTACATAAAAGCAAAGGCTCCACGGGAAAAAGCTAACCAACTAAAGAAAATTTGGTAAAAATGAGACATGTTTCTTAGGATTTTTCAAATTGATAGCAATTGTGCGTATTCAACTTTAAAGTAACAAACTAAATTTAATTTAAATGTTAAACCAGCAGTACCTTCCGAATCCCTCTAACATCAGTTTTTCATAAAATTCATGTAATCTTTAATTCTTTCAAACGAGAGATTTCTTTGAAATATATTATAATAGAGTTTCTATTACTTGACCAAAACCACCACGTAAATTAAACTTTCAAAGAATGTACAGTTCTTTAGTAAAGCGAGTCTTTTTGTTACCACAAGTGTGTAACTGCACACACATAATGTGGTTTTATCTACAGACCTTGAGGTAGGCAATGATGGATCCGTTGTAGGGAGGATATTCCTCGTAGGCGAAGGCCGCAGAGGGTACGAGAGCTCCGAAGTTGTCCCCAGTGGCCGTGGTGAGGATGTCAGGGTAGATGAAGGTGCGATTATGGGTGAAAGTCCCGATGATAGTGACAGACTCGAACCTAGTCCCAGTCTTGAAGAGCTGGCCGTAGGTCGCCACCTGGGCGGAGGAGTCGTCCGACCTGAGACCGCAGGAGGAGATGGAATCGTTGACACAGGAAACTACTCCACATAACTGAACAATAAAAGTTAACAAAAAAAATCTCTTAGGATTTTCATTTTACAGTACCTTGTATAGCCTAAGGAGTTTAGTATAAGTCCTGTTAGTTCGTATGACTTTAAGTTGAGAGAGTTCTTTAATACCAAGAAAATATATATTAGAGAAACTACCTTTTTGTGGAGCTTTCAGCTTAAGATGATAACCGAATTACCGGCAAAGCCGGTAAAAGTAATCAAGGGCATTAGCAGTTTCATCCAAACTTCCACCAGAAATCCAACCAAGAAGGGGGCCTTCATTTACTACTTACAATATATGCAACAAACATATAAATAACATTTCTTTTCTAATGTATAAAATATCTTTCATTAAATACAACAAGCATACTCAATCAAACTAAAACTGCTCTAGAAATGCTCTGCTATTCAAACTAAAAGTCCCAAATATTTTTAGCGTTTTTAAGAGTAAATCTTGTCAGATTAACCACCTGGCCTTTTCAATATGCTCAATAGTAGTTTTCATCACTAGGAGAGAAAGATGCTTTTTTTAAAACGTAATCGTCCAAGCTTGGAAATACGATTAAGTACCAAAAAGACACTTTCGTTCCGTGTGATGAACCACTATTTTCGTCATACTGTGGAAATTACCTTCTAATCGTCACAAAATTAGCACATAATTTGAGGTTATACTAAGACGTCATTAATGCTGCGTTGTTTACAAAAACAGATACAATTTTGAGGTTAGCGAGCCAAAAACATTATCATTTGTTTTTTATGTTCCCTATTTGAAGTTACCCACCTAAAAACGATGATTTTGTAGAAAATCTAGAAAACTAAAACCGGCCGCTTTTTGGACAGTATGATGATTTTCTTAATACTCAATTTTGTGTGTGTGAGTGTTAATTATTTCAGTTGTACTCTACCTGAACTCCACCAGTGGCAACTCCCCCGCCGTACCATCGTACACCATCGAAAGCCACAAGTCTATAGAACTGACGACTGAAGTCGTCTCCTCTGGATGGTGCTGAAGGTTTGGTCGCATTGAAAATACTAGTCACTCTGACCTGAAAGCAAATAACTCTGTAGGAGCTATAAAACACTGACTAATTTATTGTAAATATCTATGAAATTTACGTATAAACGATGTTCAATCGTGTCAGGCTCCTCTAACATTAATCAACGTTAAGTATTGGATACTGTCCAATACAGGGATATTGCAGGGGTATCTAAGCTATGATTAGATTATAGTATAAATAAACAGTTGTGGAGTTACAGTTCATTCTGGTTGATAAACTTGACCTTTTGACAATGACCCATGAAGTAACACTTGCAGTAGTAAACTCTATGCAGCTTGGATATGTTCATATTATGTGTAACTTTATGTCATTTGATAAGAATGTTAGTGGTTAGTTTTATCATTAAAACGTGAACTAATTATATAAACTCTTAATTAATGGGGTAAGTAAAAACAAGACTTAAAAGTGCTTAAACACTTTTAGGCCAATGGATAAACTTAGCACTTGAAATCTTTTCAAGCGTGTAACAGGTGCCCATTTTCAGGTCCCTTTTTGAAAGTAAACTCCGTTGAAAACAACTACAACCAACCCAATTTAGTTTCAACTTTCCCCAAGATGGATTGATTAAACGTATCAGCTAAGTCATTTAATATCTTTGCTGGTTAATCTACAACGTCACCTCCAAAAGATAAAATTCAACTGTCTACTTTGACTGTGGATCTCTTTATTGTATTTTGGCTATATTTTACTGATACCTCAAAGTCACAGCAGACAACTCCCTGACAGATAGTAGTCTTTGTTGTGAGATTCAAAGCCAGGGAGGAGTCCTGGAGCGGCGCCGCCGAGGCTGACGAGGGATAAAATCCCGAGGGAAACAACTGACGACTCCTGTAGACATCCGTGTAGTCCCTCAGGAGGAACAGGGAGCTGTTTGTGTGTTGATCTTCTAGCAGATGGACTTCTACGTCGCTGAACTCATTGGATACAACATTCTTTACAGGCTCCTTGTAGGTGGTAGGCCTTGCAGGGTCTTTGGTGTGGAAGAGTTTGTTGTCAGGTTCTGTGAAATGAGTCATACTTTAAGGTACCAATTAAGATAATGTATGTTGTGAACATTTTGATTACTGAGGGATACAGAGTCCACCTGATGGTTTGAGTGGAGTTCAATCTTAGTAAATGTTGATCGGTCTTTTTATGAATGGTAAATTTATTATTCATTGAATTATTTTGATAGACACAAATGGGCTAAGCTAAAGAATCAACTTCGAATGATTGACCTGAATTTTATTTTGACAACGCCAACAAATTTGCGTATTTTTAGGCGGAAAAGAGTTCGTATGTAGGATGAAGGGTAAGTGAGTTAACCAGCTTTGTTACTCAACAAATTCTTTAGTATTTTTAGACCAGACCAGTAATATTTGGATAAGTATAATTTTCATTTAACGCTATTTATACAAGCGCTATTTATTCAAGTTCAAATAAAGACCCTCAAAATGCTACTTACTCGTAATATGATCGAACTGGCTATTTACAGATCCGTAGCAAGCCGTATATCCACTCAGCTATCCAGCTATTAGCGAATATTTCCCCGTTATTTAAAACAATAAGATATTACTGTAGGTCTCATGGTAAGACTTATTAAGACGCAGAACCGATCTACTTTTACGTTTTTGTGTCCCTAAAATCACCACCCTTTCAAATTTATATTTAAATAGACTATGAATCTGCCAGTTTGATTGGAAAATTTTAGTGATATTCCAACCAAACCGGAAAATTTGCTTGGTCCGTAGCTTTGATGTGGTGGGGATATCTATTTATTTACTTTAGTCGATGAAAAAAGGAAAATGTAGACTAATATCATAACATTCATAGTGTAATCTGTACTCACTCTTGGCTCTGTCAGCCATCCCTTTTGGAAAAAATAAGTTTGAAGTTTTGACTTGAAAAGGGCCATGGGATTTAGTTTTGGAATCTGAATCCTGACACGAAAACATTAAAAAATTTAAAGTTTGGCAACAAATTTTATAAATATCAACCACTGGTACTATCTAATCGTTTCCGGGGTACATAAAATTTTTATTCAAATCTGTATAAGTTTACTGGTAAAATATTATGTGCAGCCGGCAAGGCATATTTTCCCGTCCTTGAATAGTGTAATAAGCTAAATCTACTAAAAAAAATCTACAATTTTCAACTCTCACCGAAGTTCTTGGACACGTTGGCTATGAGTAGTCTGGAGGTACGTGAGTTAGTCTGGAAGTACTGAAGCGCTCCTCGTCTGCCGTGGTAGATCCCTGAACCTGTACCTCCTGAAGAAGGGTAGTTACACCCTGAGGCAAGGAGGACTGTGTCTAGACTGTAGGCGAATCCCCACTGGGCCTGGATGGCTAAATACAATAAAGGTAACTGAATAACAAATCTATTTTAAATTGTATGTTAAAAAGACATCGGGTATTGTATTAAGTTGTCATTAATATTTTAGTGAGGAAGATGCTAGGTCTGAGTAATTAAACTGTTCCGAACATGTTTATGAAATACCCTAAATTCTCTAAACTATGTAAACTGTTACATAGTATCAGTCATGCAAAATATCATTGTTAGAAGTAGTTTGGCTTCACTGCTCCGGACCACATATTAGAATAATATATTTTTATAACCTGTTTACTATTCTTTGTTTGCTTTTTTCAGTTCGTTGTCAACCTTGTTTAATCAAACTATCAATCAAATTTGATTCTTTTATTGAAATCTAAACACTAAATCGTCATTATTAACAATAATTGTTAGTAATGGGTTTTACTAAAATTGTTTGAAAAGACTTAATTAATACAGATAAAACATTCTACGTTAATCGCAGTGAGAAGTGTAATATTTGGAATGTTATACGTATGAACTTTAAACATTGTTACCAACCAAGCCAATGAATTGATTTTGTTAGTATCATAAAATATAAATGAACAGACAGTATAATCGATTGAAGTCAAAGGGGTTTTGAATATTAAAAGGTCGAATACTGTAAGATATTATCATTTTGGAAATAGCCATAAAAATAGTTTAGCAGCAAATGGAAGGAATACATGAGATCTAACTTTTTATACAAACAGAAAATTTTCTTAAACAAACCCCTAAAATATGTAGGGTTTTAGCAATATTAATTTTAAATATTGGAATTCATACAATTGATATAAACATTTCTACCGTGATCAACACACAAACCTAATATTTAAATTTAAAGTTAAAGAAACATTTGAAGACTAAACACTGTCATAACTCATTGTATCTATGTACTAGTTAATTTAATAATTGACTGCCACTACATCTATAATAATGAATAGGTAAGTGTCAATTGATTTGATTAGGTTTAAGTGGCCCTCGTGGAATGATGTTGGCAAACACGTCGAAACCAAACTGTGCTAGAAATGGAATCAGCTGATTACAGGTGAATTGAATTGAACGTTGTATAGCATCTTTCTTCATAAAAGTCTAATTCTAATATGAAGCTTTATTGTATTAAAATGACACATGCCAGAGCAGTAAATCAATTAGTATTTTACAAGTATTTTTTATTAAGATTTGATCAAACTATTATGAAAGATAGATATTAAATTAATTGACTTTGAAATAATGTTTGATTACTTCAAACAAAATATCGTTTACTACCCTCACAAAAGTATCATTTCGGGACTAAGTGTTTTCCGCGTTCGCTTTCACCACGCTATCTTTCTATGAGGTCACTTTTGGGACTAGAGTGAAATATTTTATTCATTAACAAATTGCCGTTCTTTGTGTACATTAAATGATAAAATTAGTAGAATAAAATGGATGATCTGGGCAGCTTCATCACCGACTATGGTCGACAAATAGCTCCATGATCAAGGACACCTGGATCCATGTTCTAGCCATCAAAAAACTACTGACATATCTGATCAAACTGCCTATCATTTGATTGTTAGGAGAGGAATATCAGCTCCCCAGTAGTAAAAGCCATTTTGGTAATTTAATGCTCAAATAGTATACTTTACGCAGCACTTTACCCGAACTGTTATCGATTGACAAGGTTTTATTTATTTTATCCACATTACCTGTCAGGAAAGGTAGCTCTGAGATCCAGCAATGAGGAAATGCGAAGTGTTTAACTCCGTAGTCTCTGGCTAGAACCACTCCTGGCTCTTCAAAGTCTATATCGAAGCATATGAACATGCCAAAGGTCACATTGAAATCTGTAGTGAAGGTGTGAAGATCTAGAGCAGGCTTGGTGACTGGCTCTCCATAAGGGTTAAACTTCCTGTACCTAAAAAAAAATCTGTGTTAGGATTTTGTTATTTACCTTTGGGTTAGTTAATAATGTTGCACTCATGAAAATCTTTGTTCTTGCAACAGACAATGTTTAATGGAGAATTAAACAAATAATAAAATAACAGATACGTTTGAACCATAAGGTGAAGGGGCAGAGCCCATAAAACAGCGATACACAGAATCTGTGTTCACTGCAATATACAGACGTAGGCGATGAATTAGGCAATGGTGGTGTATAAGGTGAAGTGGAGGAATAATGAAAAAAATACGGAAGGAAACTCCAAATAGAAGAAGACCGACCCTTCTGGACAGCCAAAGAAGATGTGGAATTAAAAATAACAAAATATATGAGATTGTTGAGGGCCTTTGAAGAAAGTTTAACGGACCGGAGCAAGTGTAGGCAAAAATTAAAAAAAGTATAAAAAAGTAGGTGAGGCAAAAATTTTTAACTGATCATTGTAGGTAGTAAAATAGAGTAAAAAAGCATATATTTTTATCACATCTAAGCTTGTTCAAGTTTTTTTTTATGTAAACTATGCTTCGATTTGTGTTTGTTTTAGAAGAATCCATATCATTAAAGTATGGTAGCAAAGAACACAATTTAGTTTAGAATACTTGGATATAGCATGGGGTTGTTGAGTTGATGAAATTAAAAATATGTATCTTTCAAACACAAACATACATGTTTTTACGTACAAAAAAAGTCCTATATTTTTGTATACATCATGTTCAGCAACTCCTAGTTTATTGAAAATATAGTTTAATTTAACGCGTTGTACAACTTGTGAGTATATAAACAAAATTGTTGCAAAATCTCTAGAGTCTACACTCATAAAATTATAACTTTATTTAACAGTTTCAATATGATGATATGTAAAGTATGTGGAGGATCTAATTTTAAATAGGAGATTTTTTGGTGAATCTTAGTTTAACGTCCACTATAAACTATGATTGATTGTGTCTCAAGAAGTAATACTACACCCACCTTGCCACAACAGTTCCATTCTTGTCTATAGCCACATTGCTGTTGTAGTATTCAGTTTTGTTAGTTGTCGAATTGTAGTATTGTTCTCCTGTGTTTATCACAGCGTACATGTTGTACTTTTTTGCCGCACAGGATAGCAGTACAAGAGCCTAAAATATAATAGGTGATGTTAGTAGAGTATTATCACCTTTAAGAGGATTATTCTATAAGATGGTATAGCTATATAACACTGTATAAGATGGAGGTGGTTTCTGTTGTATGTGCCTTAGGATAAACCCAAAAACAACTCAAACTAATGGATTGATATTAATACCCCCGCCGCAGCAAACCTGCAGACTAAGCGAACTTCAACTTGTTTGATTACATATTTACTAAAATATTTCCATAAATAAGACATATTTATTCCCAATTTAAAGAACATTAGATTTAACGGTACTTTCCTGTTAAAGGGAACATTCATTATTATCGATGATTTTTTCGATATATCGATATCTTTGTTTTCCGATCCATTACAAATTGACAACAACTAACTAACTGATCTTGTTTAGGCTAAAACAGTCTATTATATGGACTAAGAAATGAAACTGTTCTAAGCTACCTAACATAACCAACCAAACTTGCTGTACCATTTAAAAACTCCGTTTGATAACAGAAAAGGCAAGTTAAACACGGAATTTTGAAATGTTACAGCAAGTTTGGTTAGTTATGTTAGGTAATTTTTTTAGAACAGTTTAATTGTATTATTGTTTGTTGATACTGAACAATATTTATCGTAGTTGTCTGCTGATATGTTTCAATTTGTTAAAATCGATATATCGAGAAAAAAACCATCGATAATAATGAATGTTCCCTTTAACAGGAAAGTACCGACTTAACGAGTGCTTAGGTTTGCTGCTACGGGGAAGGTGATCAGTGTTTTTTGACCAAACGTCAATAGTATAGGACATAAACAAGAAAACTACAACAGTTTTCATTTTCTCCATACGAATAACATGGGAATTATAAATTTGCACTTTTTTAATTTTCTCCGTAACTATTAGGCATACAACAATGCTTCAATATACTAAATATTTTTTTAAGATATACAAAATGGTTGGGAAAGAAATTACAAAATTTTATTTTTTTAGGGTCAAAAATGGGAAAAAGCCATTTTTACCCCATAAAACCCCCCATAAACCCCCGTTCCCATGGTCCGATTATGCTGGTTCGCGAACTCGTTCGAATAAACGTAGGTTTCACGTTCATACCAAATTTCATCAAAATCGGATAGTTTTTGTTCGAGTTATCGTGCTAACGGACACATATATATAATATCATTTAGGTAACATATAAATTAGTTCCTACAATTATTGACATTATAGTAAATATAACATACTTCATTAGGCCTAGTCTTAAGTCTTATTATTTTAAATACGATGGTGAAATGCGGTCGCAGCATAGATATTACGACAAAAAAAACTTCGGATAAGAAAAAATTGACATAGTAAAACCATACTACTGATATTGTGGTCTTAGACTAAAGAGGATCCTGGTTCAAAAACAACATACGCAAACCTTTTCTTGGGTCATATCTAAAAAAGTATATGCACTCTAATCTTCATACGTTACCGTATGGTACTTGGTAGAATCGGTACAAGGGTTTGCCTTTTCGTCAGGTGATGGAAGTTCAATAGATTTTCTGACATTGTGGCCAAACAGTCCGCCTTCTGGAAATACTATAATATCCACCTGCGGAAAAGGTCACAATTAATATTATAACGGAAACCAATTACTAAACCTGATCAATTTAAGTATACCAATGTATTAAATGACAGTATTGAGTAAAATTATCGTCGTTAGATATATCTATCTTTCTACACGAGATTAACAAGGAATTAGTCAAACTTAACAGTTGTGGTTGTTAAATACATCAATAAAGATTACAACGTCTTAGCGAAAAATAAATAATGCACAAGATAAGTATACGAAGCACGCTTGAGTGATATAACATCCAAGTGTAGGCTATAAATACCTAGCCTGAATAAAAAAAAACAAAGCATTCATATCTCTGATAAGTAATGAAGCAGTGTATTTTTAATCTTTAAAAACATTTCCAAAGTAAAATAGAAAAAAACGCATTGCTAGTTACACATAAACGCTTCCTCAATTTTAATATCCAGTGTATGTCTTGGTAAAATATGTAATCTTTGGTAAAACCCCAAATATTGACAAATGACAAATGACAAATGACAAACTTTATTGCCTTTAAAACATGTTACATGCATGGCATCGTCCGGGAAGAATACAGTATAATAATAATTAACATCAGGCCTAGTATACATCTAAGACTTCTATTTAACATTCTATTGACTAGACCTATAAGTTGAAATATAGATTGGGTTGAGACAAATATTCTACAAACTCATTCACATCATATATACAAATATCTAACAATAAACTTTTTAAACATGTTTTAAATTTCTTATCATCTAACAACTTAATATTTTGAGGAAGATAGTTAAAGATTCTTTTACCTGTTTCAAAAGGTGAATTAATAGTAGCTTGATAATTGCACTGATTGACTCTCAAAAAACTATTTTGTCTAGTACAATGACTATGAACTAAACTATTGGTAGGAAATTCATTTATGTTAGACTTAATACATTGCAATAAATTTAACACATACAATGCAGGTACAGTTAACACTCTTAGTTTTCTAAAAAGTGGCTTACAGTGGGTTCTTCTCCTTACTTTACACATTACTCTCAAAGCTCTTTTTTGTAACACTAACAATTTCTTAATATTATTATCACAGCCCCAAATCACAATACCATACATCAAGTGACTTTGAATTAGAGAGAAATAAACTGCTAACAAAATATCTAAGCTTACTATATTACTAAGTCTTCTGATCACAAAAGTGCTTCTAGAAACCTTTTTACATACATTTGAGATGTGGTAATGTTTGTGTTGTACATACATTTGATTATGAAACTTATTTAAACAAAGCGGCAAAAAACTACAAAACTGTCCTTATCTGTCAGACCTTGTAAAATAATTCCAAGTAAAGAACAAATTACCTCACTTAATGATGCGTTACGCATAAAATCCGTGAAAACTGCAGCATTGGCCAGCATAACCTCGTCGGCGCTAAAGCTAGGGTAGGTCGGGGATCCATACTCCACCACAGCGGCTGTGTAGTAGTCTGTAGTAGCTGCATAGCTCTACAACAAACAACAATACCATTGACTGTGGATACTAAAGGAGACGACATCCATATGAGCTGTTGCCAATTTTGTAGTGAAAGTACTTAGGGTATTTGTCGCTTACAGAGTGTACTTACTAGAAATGACTTTCAGGTATTTAAGTAGACACAAAATATGCGGGACATCCTCGTATATGGACCTGACTTATTCAATTTAGCATTTAAAATGATATAGTTTAATTATAAGAGAGTGCTACGATCTAAAATTTGCTTTCTCCCTTTGGTGTATTAGTGAGATAGTTGATTTGATATATAGTGCAATTTTTAGGAGTCTTTTGTGAATAATTTGTCTTTTTGAACTCTAAGAAGCCTAATGTTAAGTTTTTAAATCTCTGGTTTATTTTAATACAACGTACAATAAAAATATTAAGTATAAGATCCTTTACAAATTTTACTTATACAAATCTAAAGAATTTCCAAAAGAAAAGCCAGTTTGTTGGGTAGTTTCTTTTATGAACAGTTCATGATATTTTTATACATACATTGATTTAAAAAGAGTTTTAAAAACGTAAAACACTTTAGTATTGCTTTTGCAGAAAAGACTAGATAAAGCTAGCAGTCATGCCTACCTGATAAGCAGTTAGAAGCAACAGTAGGCCTACTAGTGTCTTCATCACAACAGCTACAACATCTGCCGGGTAGATAACACTAGTTGAATTGGGGTCGATTCAAGTGGCTTCAGATAAACACAATCTCTCGCAGATAAAGTTGTAAACATGCACTACCAGCCTTGACTTTACATTTTAATTAATTGATATAAATTATCACATAAGTAACTAAATCACACTTGTATATAAATAATAACACACAAATAACTAAAATCGATTAAGATTTTTTTGTGTTTCATACAATATTGATATTTTTAAATTGTTTTTGTTTAATTTGGAACGTAATTTCTTATTAATCAGTTTACTTTATTTTACAATTTTAATTAGCACCAATAAACTAAATTGTGATCAAAATTAGATACATGGCTGGTCTAATGCAGCTGGGCATAGGTTAAGATCCCAACAATCACCAATAGATTTAAACTAAGCCGTGAAGTTGTTTGGAGGCCAAAAATTAAGGTCCACTAACTGGAAAAAAAACTCCATTATGGAGGATTTCTTTATACAAAAAGACTACGTAATAATACCATTGATTATATAAACACTAGTAATACTCGTAAATTAGTTATATACATGTCATTATAATTAAGTAAATATGTTTACTATTTGGTTATCAATGCTTGAATCAAAACTTGCTAATCCTACTAATATTATAAATGAGAAAGTTTGGATGTATGGATGTATGGATGTATGGATGTATGTTTGTGACAAGTGAACGCGAAAAATACTGGACGGATTGGGCTGAAATTTGGCATGATGATAGCTCACATTCCCGATTAACATATAGGCATATTCTTATTTCAAAAATCCTTTCGGGCTCCGCCCCAGTGGCTCTGGAGTTTCCCATGTTAACCTTATGAGAAATGGAATTATTGAATCTTAACAGCTGTTTCAATTAAACAAGTTGGTTCTGTTCTATGATGTTCATAGCATTAAAGTTACAAGGATTACCAACAGGGTGCAGCACTATTATTTCTTTTACATTTATGAAAACAGCTAATTTGCAAACAAAAGGTGAGTGAGCGTAGCGAACGAACTTCAACCTGGAGGGGAGTTAGCGTAGCGAACGAGATAACCTGAAGGCAAGTGAGCGCAGCGAACGAGCTCCAACCTAAAGGTGAGTGAGCGTAGCAAACGAGCTCCAACCTAAAGGTGAGTGAGCGTAGCGAACAAACTTCAACCAGGACGTGATTGAGCCATAAAACGAGATAATCTTGAAAATTAAGAAGTTAAACGGGGCAAAGCCCGCGGGTTACAGCTAGTATGAACATAAAAGTGTACAAAACGTAGTTACTCAAAAAAGAATTTTACCTAGCTGTTCGAGTAGTTTAGTTAGGTTAGGTTAGGTTAGAACAGTGTCATCTAACCTAGCCTAACCTAACTAACCAAACTTATCCAACAGCTTAAAATTTGCAGTACCGGTAGTTATCCACTATTTCGTCTGTTTTCTCCAAATTTATATAGCGTGTGATCAAAAACCCTTTCTAAATATTGTATGTTTATTATTTATTACCTATATAAGTTACCTATAAAAGGGTTCAACAAGTTATACAAGTGTAATAGGAAAAATAGAGTTGTGGGCGCGTAACGGATTTTGACCTAAGGGAGTTCAAAGAAATCAAGACTTATTAGTTCTATTAGCGAATTTCCCTATAGGGAAGTAAGCTATTACCGTAGGTGGCATGGTAAGACCTAGGCCCGGGACCGATTTACTTTTACATTTTGATGTCCCCAGTGGCCAAAAACACCATTCTTTAAAATTTTTATATATGTATATATATATATATACATAGATTTATATATATATATATGTGTGTGTGTCCGTGAACGCGATAACTTGAGTAATTTTAGTCCGATTTTAATGAAATTTGGTTTAAAGGTGTAAAGCAGGATAAACTTGAATGAGTTCGCGAACCAGCATGATCGGACTATGGGAACGGGGGTTTATGGGGGGTTTTATGGGGTAAAAATAGGGTTTTCCCATTTTTGACCCTAAAAACACAAAATTTCACAATTTCTTTCCAAACCATTATGTAGAGCTTAAAGAAACAAATAATTTAGTATATAGAAGCGTTATTATGCGCCTAAAGGTTAAGAAGAAAATTCGAAAAAAAATTTAATTTTAAAATTCCCAGTGTTATTCTTATGGAGAATAAGTCAACTGTTGTAGTTTGCTTGTTTATGAACATAATTTGATCAAATTTGGAAAATACATTAATTTCTTACTAAACTACAGTACCTATTAACATTTTACTTAAAAAAAACACGTTTTTACCCTCCCTGTTACAGCAAACCTAAGTACTCGTTAAACTAAAACTATTTAAATAGACAATAAATGTGATATTTTTAAGGAGACATTTTAGTGTAAATCCAATCTGGCAAATGGAAATTCGCTAAGTCTGCAGGTTTGCTGTGGCGGGGGTATTTTATTAATAGTGCCATGCTTGAATTATATTTAATTGTTGATTAATTGTAACAATTTATTGCTCCGACGCGTAAGAGCGAAGCCGGAGTTTTATTTTAAGGACATGTATTGGAATGTATTGGAGGACATTGTCATTTACTTTGTGAAAAGTTGTAACCCAGTTGGATAGGTAGCTTCTGCGTTCATCTGGAAAAAGCAGATACAGAATGAAATCACATAAGTTATAAAACAAATTTGTTCAGTAAAAATTATAGAATTGCACCTATAAATAGTGTCATATGAAAAATGCACTTTAAAATGTCACATTGGTGGCTTAACACTATTTGTGCTGTCGACATGTTTGAACATAAAATTTGCATTTATTTCAATGTTAAGCAACTGCGGGAATTCCCGTCATCAGCACCCAACGTGTTAAACAGACCTCAAACCAAAGGCATAGATGTTTGTTTATGTCTGTATAGCCAAAAACCCCTAGAGTTAGCATAGAGGGACTGTGATAATTGTTTGTGGGAAGGTTCAGTAAGTAAACAACATGAGTGTAAGTCCGCCTAAGTGCGGTGCACAAGTGATTACTCTATGTATCATAATATGTGTATACAGGGTGTCACAAAAAAGTGTGATGGGCTATACAGGACCTAATTTTACATGCAAAAATAAGTCAAAAATGAAGAATAAAATTTTTTGGATTTCGGCTTAGTTTAGCCGTAATCCGCCAATTTGTTTTTTGGGGAAAATATTTATTATTTCAAAATCCCTTTCAGATATTTTTACGAAACATGGCAAAATTGTTAACACTATAGTAAACATTTATAAAAAAAAATATTATTTTAACTTTCTAAATTTCAAAATGGCGGCCGTTTGAATTTTTTAATGCACAAAATTTTGATTTAAGTACCGGTTTTCATGAAATTTGTCATTAAAAAATTCAAACGGCCACCATTTTGAAATTTGGAAAGTTAAAATAATAATTTTTTTTTATAAATGTTACTTACTATAGTGTAAACAATTTTGCCAAGTTTCGTAAAAATATCTGAAAGGGATTTTGAAATAATAAATATTTTCCCCAAAAAACAAAATGGCGGATTACGGCTAAACTAAGCCGAAATCCAAAAAATTTTATTCTTCATTTTTGACTTATTTTTGCATGTAGAATTAGGCCCTGTATAGCCCATCACACTTTTTTCTGACACCCTGTACAACTTGTATATATATGTATATAATAAATAATATAATGTAATATGTATATAATATGTAAAATATGTGCTTGCTTTCAAACACAATGTTCTTAAATGAAGGGGTTTACAATATTATTAAATTGAAACCTGTAAAACATTTTTTTTTGTATCCTGTAATACTTGTGACCAAAATAAATCGCATGGATTCAGCTAAAAGAAATAGTACAGCCTATATCAACTTAATCTTAAGTCAAAATATCTTATTCTAAGACTAAATTAAGTTTTAAAATTTAGATGTGCTGAAAAGGGTTTTATATAGTAAAAATGAGACTGCACGATTTTTGTTTATTGAATAAGATTTTTCTTTAATGAAAAGCTTTAGGGTAAATCTATAGCTGCCTCTATTCTATCTTAACCGAGTTTTAAAATGTTATTTTTCGTTTTACTCCTGCTTGATGCGATATCTTAACTCTACTAATTTTGTGTTATTTTCTTTGTTACAGTAATTGCTCCTGGCTAACAACACTACAGGCTTACTTTATCATTAAAAAAATTACACCCTAAACACAATGACATAAAACCCTCCCAAAGTGAAGAGGAATCAGCCATGTTGTATTTGGTTTATACCCATCATAAACCTAGTGTAGCAGAAGTCATGTCTTTAGGGGATGAAAGTACTTCTAGAATGTTTTGGTCCTTGACAAATGCAATCCCCAGGTTTTATAGGTCTAAAGCTGCGCAGCAAAGCCAACGTACAAAATTATAATTTAAAAATCCAATAATTTTGACCCATGGATCATTAGGATGGAAAATGGTTGCTTACAAATACTGTATATCCATAAATAAACGACAAATGGATACATATACTGCATACTTACTTTCATACTTTGGCACTCACTTCATATTTTAACATGTAGAAAACTAAATACTGTATATTTTTAGATAAAATAAAAACCCAGTCAATTCTATTTCACCTTCATTTCAAAACACAAAATATGCTTCGAATAAAAAGATACATAAAGTATTTGATTTCCTTCCTTAATGCACTTAAACTGCAAAATCACTACAAGCAACAAAACACTCTTATCTTATTTCTCAAATATTTCCTTTTAACTCCGCTAAGAAAATTAAACACATTTTTAGAAATCTTTTTGTCTGAGTAAGTAGTATTGTTAACCTTTATCCAAAATAAAATCTGGACCGTTCTTTATCCTATTATAAATCAATAAATAGTATAAATCAGCAAGTTGTATTGAATAGAGCTTCCGAAAATGTGCTTGCTTTTGAACTTAATTTTATGTATTTAATATACGACTAACGTGGTACAGTCTTGATGGCTACCTTATTCAAAAGCAAGAAAGTCAATAAACCTTTTTAAACTCTCCAAAAGTTTAATTAAAGTAATAAAACTTAAACACTAGGGTG